GCGCACTTGTTGTCTGAGAGGGACCCGTACACGCACACTGGTTGCTCCGCAGGGGGGCGGTCCCTATTCTTGTATAGGCTCTGAGCCTCGACTTTCAATCGCTTTCAAACAATTAGAAACAACATTTTCACGGTGCGCGTCAGAGCCACACCCATGGAAGCATGGTGTGGCCGTTGCGCTCTCAGATAACACAGCTTTTTCAGCATGGAACACACGTTTCCGTTGCGGATCTTTTTACTTTTGAGTGCTCATCTCGAGATGGGCCCATGGCCTTAGCGTCGGTGTCCGCTGCTGAACCGAGGCGGGGCTGGAGTATTGTGAGGCCCTGTGCGAACACGTCAGAGTGGTCGAGTCTCATGAGCAGCTCGAGTCACTCTTTGCGAAGGCCGCCTCGACAAGTGAGGTGGCGGCTTCACTGCCTTTCGAGACTTTGGATCTGCGCTGGCGGGGAATTCCGCTTTGAACTTTTGCCCGCTGTGCGCTGGCGTAGCGGCTTTAACGCTCGCCGACTTTTCCTCCCTCCTCCCACACCCCTCTTCGTTTCTTCTCCCTCCTCGTCCTTTCTCCTACTTGCTCCTCCTCATCCCTCCTCATATTTGCTCCTCATCTTCTCTTCTGCTTCCCTCCTCTTCCCCCCCTCCTCCTGCCTTCCCCTTCCTCTTCGTCGTCGTCGTCCTCCTCCGCCTCCTCCTCCTGCCTCCTGCCTCCTGTCTCCTCCTCTTCCTGCCCTCCTCCTCCTATCCCTCCCCTTTCCCTCCTCCTCCTTTCCACCCTGCGCCGGGGAACACTGCACACCAGATGCGTGCCGAGTGCAGCCTTTTTTCGCCAACCAAGGCCCGCTTTTGTCCACCCCGAGGCCTCCAGGGGGTGACCCATGACTGCGGAGGTATAGCGTAGACGGGTCGCGTGGCGTCGCAGACAAGGAAAGCTGTCCTCTGGGTGTCAGCTAGCCAGTCCAGCACGCCACCCGTTTTGCTCTCCACCTCCTCTTCCCCTTCTCCTCCTCCTCCTGCTCCTCCTCCTCCTCCGCATCTTCTTCCTCTTGTTCCCCCACCTCCTCCTCCCTCCTGCTCCGTCCATTCATTCTTCGCCTTTCTCCTTCTCATCCTCCTTCCGAGAAGGCCTGGAATAGCCTGGCCCACGCCGCGCCATTGCCCCCCCACCCCAGCGTTCTCCCTTCCCTCATCATCTTCTTCTTCTTCTTCTTCGTATCCTCCTCCTCCTCCTCCTCTTCCTCCTTTGGCTTCTCATCCCCCTCTTCCTCGTCCACGTCCTCGTCCTCGTCGTCGTCGTCGTCGTTGTCGTCGTCGTCGTCGTCGCCGTCCTCTTTCTCCTCCCACCTTCTTTCGCCTGCCCCTACCCTTCCCTCTCTCCGTCCTCCCCCCTCTTCCCCCTCCTCCTGCGTCCATCTTTTCCCCTCCTGCGGCTCTGCTGGCTGTCGGGTCCTTCTGCGAGTCTCCTGTCCCCCTCCCCCTGGTCCTCGCTTCGTTCCGCGCACTCGGGCTCCAGGTCCGGTGAGCCACGGCGACCAGGCGGAGGGAGGACGAGGAGGAGGAGGAGGTGGAGGAGGTGGAGGAGGAGGAGGAAGAGGAGGAGGAGGAAGGAGAACAGGCCACCAACGTCTGAAAAGCTGGAGGAAGAGGTGCGGGGCGAGCTGACCAGGGCACCATGTGCTGCCAGGCATCTCCTGTTCCTCCTCGGTGGGCCAGGGATTTCGCCTGGCACACTCACATTTTGTATCCTGGGCCTTGGAGCTCACACATGCGAACGGGTGTGCGGATGGAGTGCAGGCCGTGTTCAACATGCGGCTCTTGTCTGGGCGGCTGCCCGCCTTGGTGATACACGTTTTCAACAGTTTCACGGATGAAGAACGGCCCGCTTTCAAAATGTGGCTCTCACTTTATTGCTGCGCGCGTTCGTCTTTACAGTCCACAGCACTTCTCCTGTGGCCTTCGGGGGGACATCTTGGGGCCTCCTGGGGGACTCCTGGGGCCGAGAGCTCGAAATGTCCATTCGGATCCCCTGTCGGGGCCCCCTCGTGGAGCCGTCTTGGGGGCCTCCTGGGCCGTCTTGGACCGTTTTGGGGCCATCTTGGGCCGTTTTGGGACCCTCTTGAAGGCCCCTTGGGCTGTCTTGGGGGGATCTTGTTCGGCCGTCCTAGAGGGTCGGGAAGCCGAAACGGCGAGAACGCCAAACTATTTTTGCCTCTCTTGGGGCGTCTTGGGAGCATCTTCGGCCGTCTGGCGGCCATCTTGGGCGTCTTAGACCGATCGTTCGACGATTCCGGACCGTCTCAGGCCGTGTTTGGGCCCTCTTGGGGTCCTTTTGGCCCGTCTTGGGGATCGCTTGGCGTCCCGAAAGCTTAGGCGACACAGCTTGGCAGCGCGCACGACCGCCTTGGACCGGCTGGGAAACTAGGGTTCTGGGCCTTGAAGAACCCTTGAGAACCACAAGCCCTCTACCTCGCAGAGCTGCATGAGCCTCGTGGCACTCCACTACGTGCCGAAGGCACAGTGGCGGATAGTAGAGAAGAGCAGAGTAGGGTAGATGGTAGAGTAGAGTCGGGTATCAGGTAATAGGGTAACTTAGAGTAGAGCCGAGTAACATCGAGTAGGAGTAGGTTGGGGTATGACAGGGTAGGGTAGGGTAGAGTAGGGCGAGTAGAGTAGAACAGGGAAGATGGTAAAGTAGAGTTGGGTAGACTAGAGTACACTCGAATCCATTGGAGCATAGCAGGGCAGAGCAGAGTAGAGTAGAGTAGAGGAGAGTATTCTAGAGTACTGTAGGAGTATAGTAGAGGATAACAACATGTAATCGAGTAGACTCGAGTCGTTTAGGGTATGGTAGGGTAGAGTAAAGTACGATAGAGTAGACCATATTAGAGTTGAGTAGAGTAGGGTAGATGGTAGAGTGGAGTCGCGTAGAGTAGAGTAGAGTGGAGTATATTAGAGTCCCGTAGAGTAGAGTAGTGCAGAGTATAATGGAGTGAGTAGTTCAGAGGAGACCAGAGCAGAGCAGAGCAGAGCAGAGTAGAGGACATTGTAGAGTCGAGTCGGACAGGAATAGAGTAGATAATCATAGGAATACAGTATAGTAGTTCAAAGTATGATGAAGTAGGCTACGGTAGGGTCGAGTAAAGCATTCCAGTCTTCTGATCTACTTGGAGTCTGCGCTGGCTATTTAGTGAGGACGTGCGGCGACACATGAGTATACGGTCGGGAACGTTTGCTTAGCGTTTCGTTCCGCCGGTTCTTGCCTGGTACATCGGCGCTCCGAAAGTCTATTCCATTTTGTGAAGCACGGCTCCGTGTGGATGCAGCACAGCCGCATGACAGCAATGCCGCTGCAAGAAGGAAGTGACGCACGAGCCTCGCGGAGCTGGGCAAAAACTACGTTCGGGCGCGCGCTGGCTGACAAATCTGGCGCGCGTTCTGGACAACGGGGGGCAGAAGAAGGGATCAGCCGAGACAGTTTTTTTTTGCTGGACCCCTCTAGCGTGAAGCTCACTTCCGGGCCCGTCAGACAGGACCCGAAAGCATTGTTTTGCACGGCTCCCACGCGAAATGGCCACTTTCTGGTTGGCCGAAGCAAAAACTTTCGGGTCGTCTTGGGAGCATGCTCGATAGTTGTTTTCCGAGATCCTATGCGGTTTGTCCGTTGTCGGGTCCATAAACTCTTTGGGATCTTGAATTTTTCAATGGGGCACCGAAGCCCGATGCCAGCCTGGAGGGCGGGGGGCCGGGGCCAACGTTGCACCGGGCCCCAGCGGCCAAGCAGGACGGGGCGCCGACCCTGCCCCAGCGCCTTCCGCCCTGCGGAGCGGAGCGACGCGACGCGCCATCAGCCTGCAGGGCAGCGAGTCGCTGGTGCCGCCGCCGCGACACGCCAGCCACCATTTTTACGACCGCGCGAACCTTGGCGCGCGTGTCGTGCCACACGGGGTCCCCCGCCTCACCTCTCCCAGGGGCGCTACGGCGACTAGTGTCCTGAACTGGCACGGCAAACAGAAGGCGAAATTCGCGCGGCGATGTGCAGCTCCAAAAAGATTGTCTTCGCGATTCTAATTAACGTGCTCATGACATCCTTCAAAATCGGCGTTTCTACGCACATAGCGAAACTCTTCTGTTCTATAGATAGCACGTGTTGTCGTGGTCGCGGCGGCAGTGCGGATTTGCGCGTCGGCGTCCACTCCCGAGGGGGGAGGGGGGCACAGGGGCGCGATACGGGCCTCTCGCAGCGTCGGCCGGCCCTGCTGGGCGTGTTTAGAGCCTCCCCTCTCTGCTCTATTCCTCCCCTGCCCACTCCTCGGCGGCGATCCCGGGGGGGGGGAAGTGAGAAGGAGAAGGCCTTCTCGGAGGGCTCGGACGCCCCCTGGCCCTCAGAGAAGTTTTCTGAGCCTTCCCCGAGTAATTACGCGCACGACTTTTCAGAGAAGGCGCGAGGGCCTCTGAGAAGTCCCGCCGCCTTCTGAGAGGGCCTTCTTCTTCTCACTTCCCCCCTCCTTCGCCGTTGAACTTCCTCCCTTTTTCCCTCTTGCTCCTCCCCCTGCTCATCTCCGAGCCTCCTCGTGGCTTCCCGCTCGGCATCCTCCGGGGCCTCGCGGGCTTCTCTGGACCCGTGAGCTTTCCAGCATTGACTGTTTGCTCTTCCTCCTCTTCCTCGTCCTCCTCCTCCTCCTCCTCCTCCTCCTTCTCTCCGTCTCACCACCTCGTCCACGCGCCTCTCCCTCCCGCCCCCTGCCCGATGGTGCAGCTCACTCCCTCTCGTTCCTCTTCCCTGGTCGTCGTCGTCGTCGTCGTTGTCGCCGCCGTCGCCGCCGCGCGTCCGCTGCCGCCGCGCGTCGGCCGCCGCTCCCGCCGCCGCAGCCGCCGCCGTCGTCGTCGTCGTCGTCGGCGTCGTCGTCGTCGTCGTCGTTGTCGTCGTCCTCATCGTCGTCGTCGTCGTCGTCGTCGTCGTCGTCGTCGTCGTCTTCGCCTTCGTCTTGTCCCTCCTCCTTGCAG